TAATTGGCCAGTATCTTTGACGCATGTTAGCTAGGAAAGACTGCGGCTCACAGTGCATGTATTTCTTATGGACTTGTTCCATTATTAATTTGACAATGGGGTCGTTATAAGGCAACAACATAGGATGTTTGGCGTCATACGATAATGAGGCTGCATCCAAACGTCCACCAACTCTTATGATGCCCGTATTATCAATAAAAGGTGCCAGTGATGCCAATGCACTGGACTTATTTATTCTTCCATCAGATTTCATAATTTTGATTCCATTTTTAAATTCTGCATATTGAATACTTTTGATGATGACCTGATGTGCTGCATCTAGATCATCTGGAGTCAAAAAATTGCTTGAATGATCATTTTGTTTCCTTCTGGTTCTTTTTACGAATCTTAATATATACGATAATATCCGTTGAAGTCTTCCAAATGAGTTGTTGTGTCGTATTGAGTATATGAACTCTCCAGGATTGGCTGTGCCTTCAACAACAGACAATGTAGATACTGGAGTTTCCTTCTTCCGTTCAGGATCAATGAGGGTTTCGGATTTTAACGTTGATGATGGTTTTGAAGGCCACAGTTCTTCCCGACCATGCAGGAACATAGGTCCATAAAACCACATACTTGATGACTGTAGTTTATGGGGTGCAAAGCCTCTTTATAAAATGTCAGCTGGATTGTGTGCCGAACTGACGTGGCGCCACTGACTTGTGGCTGTTAATTGATGAATGTTGCTTACTCTGTTTGCAACGAAAGTGTGAAATTTTGATGATGGAGAGTTGATCCATGATATCACTATTTATGAATCACAAAAGAACGTCTGGTAATTTCTTATTTGTAGGTCGTTCTTTATTCTTGTTGCTAGTTCTGCGCCAACCACAGCTGCACAAAGTTCGAGACGAGGTAATGTCAACCTTTTCAAAGGTGCAACCCAAGATTTGGCGCACAATAGTCGTACAATAATTTGACCATTCTGAAGTGTTGATCGCAAATACGCTGCAGCACCATATGCCTTTTCTGATGCATCTGTAAAGTTGTGTAATTGAATGTTGGCAGGAACTTCGCCTTTGAAAATATGACGAGATATCTGCAGACAATTTACTTTTGTCAAATTTTTCCAGAACTCTAACCACTGTTTATGTAACTCAGTCGGCAGTTTTTCATTCCAATCCATCTTTAAATTCCATAATTCTTGAATAAAGATCTTTGCCATCACCACAACTGGTGACAAAAGTCCTAGTGGATCGAATAGCATTGCTAAATCTGAGGTTGCACTGCGCTTCGTCGTGCTGCAAACAGGTTCCAATTTAACCTTGACGCATAAACTATCAGATTTTGGACACCAGGATAATCCAAGAGTTTTTGTTGTATCGTTATTATTTTCTAAATCTAAATTGACTTCTAGGTCATCGTGTGGAATTCCTTGTAGTAAACTTGGATGATTTGCGCACCATTTTCGCAATTTAAAACCGCTTGCTGTCAGTATTTTGTTAAATTGACTCTGAGTTTCCAACAATGTTCTCAGACTATCTGCCCCGTGTAAACAGTCATCTACATAGAAGTTTTGTTTGAGAGCAGATGCACCTAATGGATAATTTTGCATATTGTCATCAGCTAAAGCTTGCAAACATTTGATTGCTAGATACGGTGCTGATCTAGTACCATATGTTACTGTGTTGAGTTCAAAGTACTTTATAGGTTGACTTGGTTCATTTCTCCAAACGAGAAGCTGACATTGTCTGTCTTTTGGATGTACAAGTATTTGTCGGTACATCTTTTCAATGTCTGTTGTAAACACATAACGAGGAAGACGGAATCCTAATAAAATAGATAGTAATTCACTTTGAACAGTTGGTCCGATGTGTAGTAAATCATTGAGAGATTGCCCTGATGGTGTTTTGGATGCATCAAATACCACACGTAACTTGGTGGTGGTACTGTCGGGTTTAAACACACAATGGTGTGGTATAAAGTAATGTGGTGACATAATCCTTTCAATATCTATTTCGGTCATATGTCCCAATTTTTCATATTCATCTAAAAACCCTACGTATTGTCGTTTGAGGTGACTATCCTTTGAAAGTCTACGCTCTAGTGCTAGAAATCTATTTGCAGCAATGTCTTTCTAATCTCCTAAAGCGAATCTGTCATTTATAAAAGGAAGACGTACAACGAATCGTCCCGTAACATTCTGATATGTAGTTTAGGTGAATTGAGCTTCACATTGTTGCTCTGCTATTGACAAGACCTTTGAGTGAGTATCAACTTCTTCAACCTTCCAGAGTTGTTCTATTGCATTTTCTAAACAATCTTCTGATGCTATTCCACATGTTGCAATCATTGTGTTAGCATTTTGGATTTTTCCAGATACGATCCATCCGAGCACAGTGTTCTGTAGAATTGGTAGTTCCCTTGAAAGTTGTATTTGACCAGGACTTAGGAGTTGATGATAAAATTCTGCTCCAAGCAACATATCAATTTTGTCAGACTTATGGAATGTGGGATCTTCTAATTGGATGTTATTGGGCAGATTCCAATTTGAAATTTGTAAGTGTTGCGATGGTTGATTGGACACAATTTTTGGCAACACAATTGCTTCAAGTATTGTTTTGTAATCGGTCACTTTTGATTGCACAGAAAGTGTTGTACGACTTTTAGAACTCAATTTACCTATCCCTATGCCTTCGATGCAAATTGAACTGGAGCTTACTTGCAGACCCAATCTGGATGCCAGTCGTTCAGTCACAATATTTATTTGTGAACCTGAATCCAATACTGCTCTGCACTAGACTGTTCTTCCATTAGAGTTGGAGGCTAAAAGTTTTGATGACTACTATTGCAAGTAATACATTTTGATCCTGAGTCTGTAGCTGCAAGTGCTACTGCTGGATGTCGTGGTTTGTGACTTTGTTTGTGGTTTCCATTCATCATTGATTCGAATGCCTGAAATCTTCCTTCTAGGAACCGCAATAATTCTTTTAATGAAATTATTCTTCGGCTGTCTTCTAACGATTGCTCGAATGCTGTATGTGAAGCTTTGTCTAGCTTTCTAATAATTACGTGAACCATTATGGCGTCCCAAGATTTAACATCAATACCTTGAGCTGCTAATCCATAATAACATTCTTTTGTAACATCATGTATGTCCTTAAGACTGCTTGCTGATTCAATTGTTATATTTGGTTGTGATAACAATTTATTTAGTAATGCTGTCACCAAGAGTCGTTTGTTGTCATACCGATTTGACAGAATATCCCAAGCTATATTGTAATTTTGCTCGGAAATTGGCAGATGCCGTATGAGGGCTTTCAGCTCACCCGCCAAATTTGTAGATAGATGGAACATTTTGTGGGCTGCGCTTATTGATTGATCATGGATCAATTGTTGAAACAAATCTCTAAATTCAATCCATTTCAAATAGTCTCCATCAAATGTTGGTAAAACTATTTTTGGACATCTGATTTGTTGAGTTGCTGCAGGCCCCTCTGACGTCAATCCTTCAGTTGGACTGTGTTGTTTTAAATATATCAATGCGTTTTGGGCATCTTTATCCATTGAATAATATTGATCTCAAGTATATCCGACGATGTCTTCTGCGTCGGCTGACCATATTTCATCATTGTTATCCCTCAGATCCTTCTGATATTTTTCTATCAGAGAATATTTCAGATCATAATAACTAGGATGATGTTTTATGGTAATTTCCTCATAAATTTCATCTATGCTTGCGCGTAATGCATGCATTAATGAGGATTGCTTTTTGATGTCTCGCATGAGCGATGTAGCTTCGTTTGACCCTCTTGGGCTTACTACTGGCTTCCCGTCCTGTGGTTTTGGGATTAGCCTTGATTTCTCCAACTTGAATCGTTCATCATATTTGACTACTAGATTGAAGAATTTTTCAAAGTAACCTGTACTGAAATACTCGTTTTCGAGTTCAGGTTGTAGCAATGCTTTGATTTCAACATCATTTATTTCAAAATCATTTCATAGGGAGTTTAGCTTCTTTAGTCGGTCTTCATAGTAAATGGAATCCTGCTTCCGGATACTAGAGTCCTTTTTAAAATTGGTTATCAGCCGCTCAATCTCTGTACCGAGCTCTGACTGCTTCTTTAATAACGCATCCATGGCGATGTTTGAATTTTCGGTCCGAAAATTCCAATAAATACTTCAGCTGCTTGATGAGTGAAGTACACCTGATTATGTCCTTTTTGTAGACTGTTGACTCCTTCGAAGTGTTCTTCGTCAGGATAATGAAATGAAAATTGATATTATATCAATAATCACGTCGGGGTCACCAAAAAATGTACGCTACTTGGTGCTAACCCAGATCCTTAATCTGTGTTAGCTTGGTAGCCAATTTTTATGTGTAAACTACTTGTATTTTTTATGTTGATTAGTTTGAGCACTTGAAACCCAAACTAATCGATGCGAGAAAGTAAGAAATGAAAGTTATAATTGTTTTGTATTTCAATTCTGTTCCTTCTCCTTTCTGAGCTTTATTAAAATTGTTTCTTCTATTTATACAAAATTATTTCTTAAAAAAGCTATTAAATTATGCATTAATTAACAATAAATATTAATGCATAATTCACAAATAAATAAATTTGCCTACCCTGTGCTGACATAATTATAGGCCAACATATTACACACTTTCTTCAGTGCATTGACCAACAAGAAAAGCTGATAATGCAAAATTGCACTTTTCGTTGGTCAATGACTGGTCGCAGTGTTGGCCCAAATAATATGTAAACACATGTAACCAAATATCATAACAAAAAATAAAAATATAAAATAATATTAATTAAATGCAAACATAAACATAAGGTAAGTCAGAACTTGACACCGGGGAAAATGTTGGCAGTAATTCTTGAGGAACCATGGTCTGTTCTTTGCGCTGATTTCATAGGACCATTACCACGCTCAATCCGTGGCAACACGATGGCCTTAGTATTTTTCGACAAATTCTCGAAGGAGAGGAGGTAGAGGAGGTGGAGGTAATTCCTATGAAGGCAGCTACAACGGCAGGGGTAAAGAAAGCGTTTAGAGAAAATATACTGGCGCGATTTGGTGTCCCGAAAATACTAATAACCGATAACGAAACACAGTTTACAAGTCACCTATTCCGACAATTTGTAAATGAGCTAGAAATTACGCACCAGACCACCGCCCCATATTCGCCCCAGGGCAACCCTACGGAGCGTGCGAATCGCACCATAAAAACAATGATCGCACAAAGCACAGAAATAGAGCAAAGACGTTGGGACGAGGCTTTGCCAGAAATAATGGTAGCTATAAACTCAAGTATTTCTACTTCTACAGGTTTCACGCCAGCATATGTCGTCCAAGGGAGAGAACCTCGGTTACCAAGAAACTTATACGATGAGGTAACTCTGGGCATTGGGAAGAAGTCGGAATCACCAGATAGTAAAGCACGTCGGCTTATCGAAATTTGTGGGATAGCCAAACGAAATATGGTAAGGGCAGCACAAGATCAATCAAGACACTATAATTTACGCAGACGGGAATGGAAACCCGAACTTTGCGAGCTGGTATTGACTAAAACACATCCACTATCAAAAGCACAGGAAGGTTTCGCGGCGAAAATTGCACAAAAGTTCATAGCACCTTTTGAGATCATTGATTTTACGTCGCCACTCATAACCAAGTTGCGGGAGATATCCACAGATAAAATCGTCACGTCACACGTGAGCCAATTAAAACGATATCAGGTCTAGAATTGAGAGCACTCCAGCTCTCAATTCTAGGCCTGCGCGTAACCTCAGTAGACTAGGCCTGGACTGAAAAGATGAGAAATTGTGGCGTTTCATTTAATTCTTTATAGTTAATTTTATTGCGAAAGATTACACCTGGGAAAACAGTTCTGTCAAGCATACAATAAATAGGTGTAGCGCATAATGTTATTGAGTTTTGTTATAATATACCTTTCCACCTTGGTTTATCAATTCATATCAACCACGGTTATATATCTAAAGTCATACTACTCCTGAATTGTTCTATATCTATTAAATAAATACTAAATAGGATTTTAAAGTCATGAATATATATCTTTTTTTAAAAAAATAGTAAAATAAATAAGAACACCTTGTAATTAAATAAATACTAAATACGATTTTGAAGTCATGAATATATTGTTTTTAAAAAAAAAAAAATAAATAGTAAAATAAATAAGAACACCTTGTAATTAAATAAATACTAAATATGATTTTGAAGTAGGGCGTATAACCAGATTGTAGACTTCATTGTAATATTGTTAATAATAGTAAACAAAACGAAAGTAAAAGAAAATATGTGTAAATTATGTTCATCGTTATGGAACTAAAGTATATCAATTTTAATGAACTAGTGAATTGTATTGTTTATTACAACCTATATGATAAAAATTGTTATTGTAATTTCATAATTGAATTATAGTTACAACTGCATATTCCTGCGTCTTCGGCTTAATTCGCGATAATTAGAAAATCTGTGCTTGGCTACGTCAAAACCCAAATTCTACGAATATTACATCTTGTGTTTATCAACAGTTGGTGTTTTTAATAAATTCAACACGCTGGGGAATCATAGTTACAACTCCATATTCCTGCGTCTTCGGCTTAATTCGCGATAATTAGAAAATCTGTGCTTGGCTACGTCAAAACCCAAATTCTACGAATATTATATCTTGTGTTTATCAACAGTTGGTGTTTTTAATAAATTCAATACGCTGGGGAATCATAGTTACAACTCCATATTCCTGCGTCTTCGGCTTAATTCGCGATAATTAGATATCTTTGCTTGAATACGTCAAAAACCAAATTCTACAAATATTATATCTTGTGTTTATCAACAGTTGGTGTTTTTAATAAATTCAACACGCTGGGGAATCATAGTTACAACTCCATCTTCCTGCGTCTTCGGCTTAATTCACGATAATTAGAAAATCTGTGTTTGGCTACGTCAAAAACCAAATTCTACGAATATTACATCTTGTGTTTATCAACAGTTGGTGTTTTTAATAAATTCAACACGCTGGGGAATCATAGTTACAACTCCATATTCCTGCGTCTTCGGCTTAATTCGCGATAATTAGAAAATCTTTGCTTGAATACGTCAAAAACCAAATTCTATGAATATTATATATTGTGTTTATCAACTGTTGGTGTTTTTAATAAATTCAACACGCTGGGGAATCATAGTTACAACTCCATATTCCTGCGTCTTCGGCTTAATTCGCGATAATTAGAAATCTGTGCTTGAATACGTCAAAAACCAAATTCTACGAATATTATATATTGTGTTTATCAACACTTGGTGTTTTTAATAAATTCAATACGCTGGGGAATCATAGTTACAACTCCATATTCCTGCGTCTTCGGCTTAATTCGCGATAATTAGAAAATCTGTGCTTGACTACGTCAAAACACAAATTCTACGAATATTATATATTGTGTTTATCAACAGTTGGTGTTTTTAATAAATTCAATACGCTGGGGAATCATAGTTACAACTCCATATTCCTGCGTCTTCGGCTTAATTCGCGATAATTAGAAAATCTGTGCTTGGCTACGTCAAAAACCAAATTCTACGAATATTATATCTTGTGTTTATCAACAGTTGGTGTTTTTTTTAATAAATTCAACACGTTGGGAAATCATAGTTACAACTCCATATTCCTGCGTCTTCGGCTTAATTTGCGATAATTAGAAAATCTTTGCTTGGCTACGTCAAAAACCAAATTCTGCGAATAGTATATCCGGTAGTTGAATATATCGAACAAGATAAATTCTATTTATTTATAAAAATTGTTTATGTATTTTTTGCCACAAATAATATTTCTAGAGAAAATGAATTGTAACTAAAGTTAACTGGATTTGTACATATTGAACAAGATAAATTCTACTTATTTATAAAATTGTTTATGTATTATTTTTATAAATACTATTACTAGAGAATATGAATTGTAACTAAAGTTAACTCGATTTGTACATATCGAACAAGATAAATTCTATTTATTTATAAAAATTGTTTATGTATTTTTTGCCACAAATAATATTTCTAGAGAAAATGAATTGTAACTAAAGTTAACTGGATTTGTACATATTGAACAAGATAAATTCTACTTATTTATAAAATTGTTTATGTATTATTTTTATAAATACTATTACTAGAGAATATGAATTGTAACTAAAGTTAACTCGATTTGCACATATCGAACAAGATAAATTCTATTTATTTATAAAAATTGTTTATGTATTTTTTTTCTCAAATACTATTTCTAGAGAATATGAATTGTAACTAAAGTTAACTAGATTTGCATATATATTGAACAAGATCAATTTTTTTTTATTTAAGAAAATTTATTTATTTACCTTATGTAATGCTATTTTATGTAATTAATTGAATTGGAATAATATATAATATATACCAAGAATAAAGAACAGGTGGATACAAAAGTTAACGTGGTGTTGAATAGAACAGAGACTAGGGACGAAAGAATCATTAGAAGTTACGCTGGGAATCGGAGTCGAGTCCAAAAATATAAATTGTCTTGTGAGAACCCTGGATTATCCCAGCTATAGACTGCCTCACGTAAAGGGGTTCATTACAATACTTTCTTTCTCGTACGTTTGTTTACAACACAACTTTTGCTTTTTTACATTTTAAATATAAAACATATGCTAAATATTTGGAAATAGCTTGTTTGTTTACATAGTTGAAATTTTGGTAAGTCCCTTTGTAGAAAAATTAGTTTTAAGGATTGTAATCGATATTTTTCGTCTTAAATGACGTAATGTGAAATATTTTTATATTCGTTTTATTATAAGTGAATGAAAGAACAATTTAAATATAATGTTGTAAAATATTTTTTATATTCCTTTCATTATAAGTACATACAGAAACAATTAAAATATATAATACACTGTGAAATATTTTTAATAGTCGTTTTGTTATAAGTGAATAAGAGAACAATTCAAATATAACACTGTGAAATATTTTTATACTCGTGTATCCATAAAATATTTATTCAGTGAAAAAAAGACAATCCAAAATATCGTCATAAATTATAGTCCGATATATACATATAATCTACAAAATAATTGTTGGAAACAATTATGCTTCATAATAATTATAGATCCAGTGGATTCTAATAAGGCGCATTAAAAAACAAGGAGCAATTTTTACATATATGTAATTCAACAGCCAATTTATTTACCGCAATAGGATCACAGAGATCTGAAGATCTCTAGTTACCGCTAATTAATTAATTTGTCTTATAAATTATTTAATCTTTTTTATTAATCATTGGTTATTCATTTTTCTATTTTCGAGTTCTAATTTCTTTTTATGATATTACTTTTTGTTTGTTTTAAATACATTTTTCCTTTTGCCTATATATTTTAGTAATTTTTTTTGTATATATTTCTGCCTTTATTTTGTGTTTTTAAATTAATTTGTTTCTTCATATTGTAATGAACCTTTTTATCAGCCGATGTTTCGCTCGCCGGATCCCAGAGTCGTTACAAGAATATTTCTTTGTAACCATGAATCTTCTCGAATAATAATTTTAAAACCGGTTAATTTTATTTTAATTCCCTTATTTTTTTATAAATTTTCACAATATGTATTACTTATTTACTAACAACATATATTGCAATATACATATAGTGATCATTGAAAAAACTGATCAATGGTGAACTAGGAACCAACGCTACCGACAAAGCTGCATTGCTAAGGATCAGTGTTACCGACTGGGCTACACTGGCGGACTAGAAAGCAACGTTAATAAATTTCTTAGTTACCTGGTTGAATATTACCTTTGGTTCTGCGAAGTGTTCTGCTCAGTGGCCTGTAATCAAGTGTCCATGCATTTGCTTCGATGCCCACTTCTCTAAGTGCTGCGACCAAGTCCCCTTTTACTTGCTCTTACTCCTCCTTTTATATAAATCTTGCGAAACGGGACTACTAACTTCCGAGTGCACATTGTGTAAATTTCTTATAAGTTGTTATTGCCAACTCTTTTAAATAAATGACACTCAAAAAAAATGAGAAGTGTTACTACTTAATTTATATTTCACGAAGGATTATTGTTTTTTTGATTTTATTAAACTAATAACTTAATGTTATTAATAATTTATGTTAACTTAATAATACCTTAAGCGTCTTCATCCATTCTCCATTCTCACGACATGACCAAGCCAGCGAAGCCGCTGGATGTTAATGCGCTGAATTACATCACTGTCGTGATAAAGCTCGTACAGCTCGTGGTTCATTCTAATGCGGTAGTCGTCGCCACCTCGTAGAGGACCAAAGATCTTACGAAGAACTTTTCTCTCGAATACTCCCAGTGCTGCTTCATCATTCTGTGATAACGTCCATGCTTCTGCACCATACAGAAGCACGGGGAGGATGAGCGACCTATAGAGCGTAAGTTTCGTTTGTCGAGAGAGGGCTCTACATCCCAATTGCCTGCTGAGCCCATAGTAGCACCTATTAGCAATGGTGATTCTTCGTCTGATCTCCAGACTGACATCATTTGTATTCGTTACGGCGGCGCCAAGGTAGATGAAATCCTTGACAGATTCGAAAGTATAGTCGCCAGTCACTAGCCCGGTGTCCGAGCGACGCACATTTCTACCAGTAGCCGACATATACTTCGTTTTTCCCTCATTCACCGCTAAACCCATTCTTGCAGATTCCTTTTCGATAGCAGCAAAAGCAGCTGTAACATCACGCT